GTAGAATGATCAGGCACGCTGAAAAGGGAAGAAAGTAGAAATTCTTCAGTTGGATAATCTAAGGATACCGGCATTCTGTGCTAAGTGGATTACTTGCAACAAGGACATCAACTTTTGAGGGATATCATGGGTCATCATGTACACTAAAGTTTTACTTTGTAGTTCATTATATGAAAGTGAAATTTGAGTGAATTTACGGACGTGCGAGTAACAGCAAGACCGAAATAACAAAAGGAGATTGTGTGAGTTGCTCTCTTTTGATTGGGTATGAATTAACGCTGTAAACGCAAAAGGCTGACTGGCTTCGCGAGCAGAGGTTGGCTTCGGGTTTCGGAAGCATTAACCCGATTTTTTCACAAACAAGGTTACAACCAAAGATGGCCGACCCATCTACCGGTCGGTGCCGAAAGAGCAAATGCAGCAGGACTGGGATCCTAATTATTTCGGTTGGAATCTCAATGAGCACCTAGTTTTACCTTGAAATAATCGGCTTTCTAGGTACCAAACTACCGTCAGGACGAATGGGACTCAAATAGACTATGGTTCGACGTTACAAAAATTAGTGAGTTTTGAAACAACTCCCGAAATCAGCCTCATGGAGTCTTAAAACTGGACAATCAATAACGTTACGTTCAGATGCGCTATTTTAAATGGCTGTCTTTCGCCTAACATCGTGCAATGCAGGATTGACACCTGGCTATAACACTCAGTGTAACTACCGATTGAACCGATTATAATTCTATTCGAGAGGCGTAGCAGCACAGAACCAACTTCTCAGTCCTAAGATTTAATCAAACTGGTAAGGTAGAAGAATACAGATTGAGTAAACCCAGGTCCGCTCCTGCAAACGGAGTGCTGGATTAGTCTTAGAGTCTTAGTCGGTAACAAAAATGTTGATGGATCTGAGTACATAGGCCTCTGTTTCCGCTCTACTCGCTGCTTCATGATCGAGTTCTTGTTCGAGAGAAATGACCTAGTTGAGAACCCTAACCGTTCCTTTGCTTAGTTGTTGGACTCCTCAGCAGTACCGGTCAATCGCGCCACAGTCAACATAGCAGAAAAACAATACTGGGGCTTCGAGAAGCAGGATAATCAGGATCGCGTTGGCCAGCCCATGCACTGAAGCACTGCTCAGACATGCCTGTTTATGCTTAATTTCCCACCTACTATTCCCAATCTATTACTTGTACCAGATTCACCGCCCTGTACCATTCCCTAGAACAAATACCCACTCGCCAAATTTGCAGTGAATAGCATACCATTGCATGTATTGCAGATTCTGAAACTTAATCAACCTCTAAATCCATGGAACTTTAACGGGAGGACCCTAGAGCTGATAGGTCAGCAACCTTGAAATTGGCATCTTAGTGATCAATGTGAGGGTGAAACGCTAGGCTTAACCGCCGAACTAGAACATTGCGTTTCAATTCCGCGAGAGATGCCTCGAAATGATGAGCACAATCAATGATACATACAGAGCGGAAATGATCGGTTGCCGTTATCTCCGCTGGGCGTGTCAAACGAAAAGGATTGCTGAAAAGGCCTCCCCTGCGCTCAAATTTTCAACCGGCGCAGGGAAAACACCTGCAAATACAATTAAACCAAAACTGCAGGTCGACTGAATGAGTCTTGTAATTTTTCTGTTTTACTTGTGCTCTACCTGGGGGCTGCACTTAGACAGCACATATGATGAGGTACCGAAAAAAAAAACTTTTTCAATACCGAACACTGACTGAAACCTCGGCTCTCAAAGCTTATCAATGACTACTAAGTGATCCAATGAGTCATTAGTTCTTGAGATTGGTCGTTCAGTACGACACCAACACGACGCCGGATTAATGTGCGAAGGAAAGAGACTAGGCGCACTCACTTTCTTTATGCTACTCCTTAAGTTTCAGTATGGTCGGCAGTATGTACCTAGGACTGTGACTGATTACCCTTTTCTTCCTACTAGCGAACTTTTCCCATAACAAACGGTTTATAAAGCCTCTACTGATGTTTCATTCTATGCGTTCACGAGGCGGTCCCCACCAAAGTTCAAAGATAAAAAGCCAACATTCAGGGCCACAACAATAATCGTGATCAACTGTCAGTTACCATTGGAGTATTGATTAGAAAAGGTGGTTGCAGATTCCTGGATGTGGAAGAGATCAGGGGATAGATTAGTCAGAGGGGTACGATGCACCTTAGATGTTTAACCCCGCCACAAGGCGTATGATGCAATAAACCAAATAACGTTTCGCAATAGACTGCAGCCTTTTCACAGCGCCCAGCGGCCTAGCGGGTCAAGCTTCGGACTGCCGAGCGTTTGGGTTACAAAACCCTCAAGAAAATTCACCTTCTTTGGTCTAGGTGACCTGGCACTATTTGACCACGTGTAATTTATTACCTTTAGAGTATCAAGTATATACATTGCAGAACAAAACAACGCCGCAAGCTTCATACGGTAAATCGCCTGACACAACGAGCGAAGCTTGCACACACAGGTGATACTTATAGAACAACAGGATAATAGCAATGAAATGATCTAGCAGCGGTTCCGATAAGCAGAATGGATTCTAAAGCCATTTGTGGCTTCCCAAGTTGCCGACTGACCTGCAACATTCAGCTGCAGTCTGCACATTAGCTACGATCTTTCGGTTACTGGAGTAATTCTCAAGTACCCGACTAACCACATAATCGGTCTTTATGCCACACACGATTTGGAGATGTACTGTACAGTGTGTAGTTCTGTCGGTTTACAAAAGCCTGATTCATTTAGCAACCGGATACACCGTCGTTAACTATCCAGAAACCATCTTATTAGAACAAAATACATCCAAGTTCACCTAACCAACTCCATCTATACTTACAACTGCTAGCACAGGTGCAATCAAATGACCTTATTTTTATGAACGGTATTTACTTGAGCTTCATTCAAATTCGATGTTACTGTCACACTCTTCAATGTACAGCAAGATACAGTGAGACGAACTTCGCTGATTGCTGCACAGTCCACAATTAATTGATAAAGTACAAGATGAAAATGGATTGGGTCTAATTGGAGGGCGGAACAGAAAGTGAACCTCTATGGTAATGATTCGATGGAGAATTCTTTGTTCCATCGAATTCAGACTAGTCGGCTTCGTTGGTTAGGACACGTATTGCGCATGTCCAGCCATCGTCTGCCGCACCGCGC